ACCTGTAAAATGATTACTCAGTAAAATGATTAAAAAAAGGAGAAAAAAACCTCAACATGCAAACAAAAATGATGCTTCCATTCTACCTTGTGTGTGATCCATTCCCGGCCATATTGGTACACGTTGTTAGCTGCTGAATTGAGAGCTTTCTGAATGACCTGGGCTTCAGGGAGCCAGCTTGTTTGTTTTTCAAAGAGGAAAAAAATAAAATTATTCCCATCATTTTTATAATTATTTCTTAATAGTTACACCAAATTTAAGGAAGAAGTTTCCAAGCAATTAAGAAACAGCTAATGTTAAACATGTATGAATATGTAAGTTAAAACTCATAATGTAAGTTAAAACTCATAAATATTTCCTCATAATGACAGAATGCAGATTTTTAAATCAACAATGCACAGTTCAGTGTAAGGCATCAGTTTAACTACATTTTACTCTAACATTTATTGACACAGGCTCTTGAAAACTGAACTTTTTAAGAAAAGATCCTGTCTCTCATTACAAAATCTACATATATATACTTAATTATCCACTTGTCAGATTCTTATAGTTGCTGCCTACGCTTTTGTTAGAAACACCTCTTGGGGAATCTTAGCTTTCTAGGTATTATGGCATTGAAAACAACTTTCCATATATGAACTAAAAACTGAACTGCTGTATGCTGCTCTTGAATCTAGACACTGCCTAGAACTAGAAAGATGTAACAGTGCCCAAATTTTAGTCCAGGTCCAAATCAAGCTGTTTGTTAAGAATTTCTCCAGATCTTGGAGACAGAGTCCTCCCATTCCCAGCCTCTGGTTACTTTAAAAGAATAAAGCCAGTCTTCAGCCAATATTACAGTCTTAGCATGTTCAAGATACAGGTCCCTTACTTTAAGTCATCGTTTTCTTCTTTTTACATATCACTTGAAAAAAAACTCCCAATCTTGCTATTCCACCCCAAAAAAATCCCAAACAACTTCCTAACAGAGCTCATTCTTCTTTCATTCTCTTAACTATATAAGGGGTCATCCAGTTTTTCTGCCTGAGATATATAGATAATGGCCTATCATCCTACAATACAAATGTGGGAGAACAAACAGCAAAATAGTAATTGGAAGAAAACAGCTCAGGCTCCACACTACTACTGAGTTTCAAAGACTCACTACCAGCCCCTGCCAGATTTTGCTAGCCCAAGAACTAGAGTCAAAGGGAGGCGGTGGGGAAGGAAAACAGCAACAATATGCATGCACTTCACCAGTCACCTTCACATGTATGCATACAATAAACTTTCAATCTTAAGAACCAGATATAAGAGCCCCTTGAAATTTGTTCAGCCCTATTTTTTTTTTTTTTTTTAAACTTCAGCATACTTACTTTGCCCATTCTGGGTGATTGGCTACAGTCTCATTGATCAAGCTGCTTGTGACCTGAATCATGTGAACACTCTCTTGATGTACCTGAATTAAACACAGAGAGGAGAAAGAATGTGTGAAAATCGTTATATAACATGAAACAAAATCCACCTTAACTTAATATGCCTACATTTTTCAAGAGGACTGGTGATTTTGGGTTCCCAACTTGCAAATCATTTGAAGACCCAATTTTCACAAAACAGATGGATACATGCTACTTTATAAAAATAGGGTTCAAGATTTCTCAATTTCTATACCTAAAAAATATGACAATCCCACAACTACCTACTTTTGAGAATTTGAACTATATCATGACACTATTTAGAAATGCAAGATGTAAACTTAATTGATTTGTGTGCTGCTCTTCCCAACAAAGGCTCAGGGCAGTTTACAATAAGGAAATAGAACAACTTATAAACAGGACAGAGACAAGAGGGAACCAGAACATCAAGGTAACCCAAAACTCCGCTAAACACCATGTCATATTTTAGTTTTGTTTGGTGAATGCCTGCCCAAATAAGAAGGTCTTACAGCACTCCTGAAAGATGTCCAGGCTCAGGATCTGATGAGCAACAAGAGGGAGGAAGTTCCAGAACTCAGGAAAAACTCTGGAGAACTTCCTATGTGCTTCCATCTAGCAGACTAGGCATACTGACACCATTTGTAGGAAGCTGCTCTCTGTCTCCCTTAGTGATTATGATGGCACATAAGGGAGAAGGTATGCAAGGTCCAGACCCTTTAGGCTGTGAGACCTTTAGGATCTTGTAGCTCAAAACCAGAGCTTGAATTGTGACTGGAAAGCTATTGGGAGTTATGTGCGCCTAGTGACCACCCCTGTTACAAGATGGGTCACTGCATTCTGTACCAGCTGCTGCTTCTAGATAATGTGCAAGGACAGCCCAACATAGAACACACTGTAGTCGTCTAACCTTGAGGATATGAAGGCATGAGTGATAGTGGCCAGTATTTTCTGACATTCTGCTCTGCTACAAGCCTTCACAACCCTACCTGTCCCACTGACATTTTGAAAATTAAGTTAGTCTGCAACTGGCAGAGCAGAGGGATTCTTAGAGGTTCAGGTCTCTCTGGACATGCATCTTAGGACAGTGAATCTCAATGAGGGTGCCAGGGCACCTTGATGTGCTGCAAGATCCTTTGAAAGGTGCCACAGGAAGTGTAAGGAGGTAAGAAAATAAAAGCAGGTTCAGGTTTCAGGTGCAAAATAAGCTTGTAAGGGCAGTCTCAGGCTCTCTCTGCCTGGCTGCTCCCCTGTCCCTACTCTGCAAAGAGGTAAGTCCCATACTAAATCCATCAGGGTTTGAAATGGGGATGAAATCACAAAAGTTATGGAGGGATGCCCGGTGTCTGACAAGGTTAAGAACCACCATTGTAGCAGAAAGAAAAGGTACTGGAGCTCTTGCTAAGCTAGTCAGAGATGGGAAGAAGTTTGTCTGTGGAACAAACTCACAGAAATACTGTAAAATGTAAATGAAAAATGTAATAAGGGGCAATATATATATGACAGGAAAAGGGGTGCGCAACTAATGTCAACCTTCCATTTGTCTTCAAAAAATTCCCTGTATACATTGGTGCCAAGTAGCTAGAAGAAGTGCGAGACATTTTTCATAATCATGTATAGTAAATAGACATCCCTAATAGTGATCCTATTTTTTCTGATATGACCAGTTATTTATGGATAATTCATGACCAGTTATTTATGGATAATTCCAGTCCATAATGCTGCTGAAATGGTTAAACTCATGCTAACTATAACCAAGGTAAGTCTATCAGCACAGAGATAAAACATCTTTTTTTATGAAATTATGTGCATTTAAAAACACATTGACCAATAAAAGCAAGGAACTGCAAAACTATTTTTCTGTCCATAAATGTGTCTATCCCATGCCATCTCTCCAATTCAGCATTCCTAAAATACCTATCATGCTAGGAATGCTGGCTGAAGTTGGATGTTTTAGTTGTGTAAATATTTACTGTTTAAATCAGGGGCTGGCAAACTTTTAGGAATGACAGGCCAAACTAACTTACATGTTTTCTCTCTCTCCAATGTTAATTTAAGCACAAACTGGAAAACCATCTTGTCTGATGCTACAATTGCATGCAAAGAAGCTGTGGTATCAATATCCTGTTAAATTCTGAACTCGAAAGACATTCAGGTTTAAGTTTTAAGCAATAGATGGAAAAAATGTGAAAAAATGGTGAAAGAACTACAGCTGTGAACAGAACAAAAGAAAGGAATGTGGCATCTTGCAATGAGGGGCGGAGATGCAGATCTTCAGTCTCTTTGTTCTAATTTGTGAGCAGTCTAAGGAAGTGAAAGCTAAGAAGACAGAAGAGCACTTGGACATCAGTGCTGCTCTCCCACCACAAATGGGTGCAGGGAGGAAACTGGAGCTGCAACTCTCATAAGCCAAGGGCTGCAGAGCTGTGCTGACAATCAACTCTGCTCCCTCTACCCTGCGGGCCACTGCAGCTCCCCACAGCAGTTTTGTAGTAGTCCTGCCATGAGGCATGACAAAGGGGAGCATTTCTGTCTGTGGCTGAAACACTCCATTTCTGAAATGCTTCGAAGTGCAACCACAGCTTTTCAAATGTTTCATCTTTCAGCACCCTAATTCATGTTCTGCTCGACCATGATCAAGTATGCTACAAAATGCTTTACTAAATCAGTTCTAGAACAAAAACAGATGGAATTTACTATATGTAAATGTCTTAAATGTTTCCAAAATAGATTTAGGCACACACTTTGGTTTTAAATTTTTCTGTTTCTTTCAATGTTTATGAGTTTATATAATCAAAAGTCTTTAAAAGTTTGTATCACACAATGTCATGTTCTTTTTCAATTACAGACTCAGGTCAGATTAAACAAAACTTATTTGATTATATTGTGTTCTTTTTAAGTATGCAATAGCATAAAAATCCACATTAAATGAGAGACCTCTATTGGCAAGAAAAAACAGCTACACACTGAAAGTCAGTTATTAACTTCAGAAAAAAAATCTGATCATGATTGTTGGTACATCTTCACATTCAAAGCATGAGTAATAAGGTTGATACAAGTAATTATTGAAATAAAGGGGATGTTAATCTACATCTCTTGCAAATATAAATCATATTAACATTTTACTGATGAACAGGGATCTGGGTTTTCTGTTTCCCATAGAAAAAGGGGGAGGGAAACATGGATTTCTTCTTTTACTAGAGAAAAACTCAAATTTTTCATTTTAACAAAGAAACACGTGGATTTTGCAATTTTGCAAAGAGTTTTCTGCAGGCTGGCAGAGTTTCTGCCTGCAAGGAGCTGGGGAGCTGGCAGAGGTTGGTCAGGCAGAGGGTGCCATGTGCATGTACAGGCACATGACCACTAGGCAGCCTGGAAAGCAGCTCCCACATGCAAGTCTGGTGGAGGGGTGCAGGGGGTGGGGAGGGGGTTAGCACTGAACTAGGATACAAAATAGTTTTTGTACTCTAATATGTTAAGCTAATCTATACATTTAACATTCCCCAGAACTGCACTCTTCTTTTCCATTTATGTTGACACTATGATGCATTTGAAACATTAATGTATGTTTTTTTCATCTGTATGAATATTAAAAGAAAACATTAATTATTAAAAACAGAATAAAAACATTATTAAATATTATTAAAACCCTTTAGCCAGGGGTAAAGCAACCTGTTCTGGCTGCAGGCTGAAATAACCCACCCCAAGTCAGAGGCAGGCACACAGCCAGTTCTCAACCCCATGATAGCACAAAGAACAGCTGCTGCTAAAGCCCCATATCTGTGGGCCACATCCAGTGGTTTCATGGGCCAGATCTGGTCTGTGGGCTGTAGGGTGCCAACCTCTACCTAAAGTTTACAGCTCTTCACAAACAACTTACATTAAAAAGTGATTAAAAGAACAGTTTTATTATTATTTCTCTTAGCATACTGTACCTTTGCAGTAAGGAGAAGAGCTAGCAGAAGAGTTCCTATGACTAGCAAAAATATGATGAAAATGCTAATGATTTTATCAAGCATTTTCTCCAACCACACAATCATCTGCAGAGAAGAAAAACAAATCATGTCATGTGGATCAATATACTATGGAAGTGATACTAGCCCCAATTTGACAGCCCTGAATATTAATTGGATTTTTTTTTTTTTTTCAAACAACAAGACTACAATAATTGGCCTTAAGTAACTAGTGCTCATACCCATGCTTGGATACAAGCAACTAACAAGCAATATTTAGCAGAAGTAGGGTTATGTTATGATGCATATGATTCTCCAAATTAAAATCAAAACACTGTCATGAGACAAACAGCAAGCAGTTAGCAATGCAGATTCTGGCTTAATTTATTTCCTTCAAGCAGGGAAACTTACAGACACTCATCAGTACAAGAGCAGAAAAGTGATCAAGGTGGACTGTGAACAGTACTACCATATTTTCAAACTTGGATGGCTGGAGTTCATCTCCTAAATGCCTAATGAGATACCAGCAAAGCTGTGTGTTTTCTATATCACTGAGCATCAAGCCAATTACTTAGGATGCCAAAGCATCCAAGTAAGACTGTACTGACCCAAGATAGCATTTGGAAAACTTCTCTAATATTAAAACCATTAACCATGACAAAATGATGCAGCATATGTACACTATGTTCTACAGAGGTATATACATTACAAATGACAATCACACTACTTCACACGAGTGAAATACTGCCTTTGTCATTCAAAGGGGGGGGGGGGGAAGGATGTTGACCTAGGGA